AAAACTTACAATCTAGGATAGGTAAAGAAAAGAAAGATAAAATACATAAGATACAATATACAAAGTCTATATACAAATTCAAGTGGTTCATAACATAGGTCTTATATACATATTATTAGGATGTACACAGTACATCGTATTAAATATAGAAACATCATTGTATAAGTATAATGTATCCTTCATTACATTATATGACAACATTATTGGATTTCTACACCCAAATCTAGCATACTTGTGTGCTTCAAATATTTATGAACATTTTCATTAATACAGGTAAATCATTGTGACTAAAGTAACAACAAACAGCATTACATTATAATGTTTTAACTTTGGCTGTGTGTACATGGGTTCTGTCTTTCCATCATTCCAATGATAAGAGAAAAAGAAGCGATAGATTGTCACAAGTAATACTGTATATGCCTGCTGAAGACTGTATAAAAGAGCATATGCAATGAGACACTATGAGAAGACCACGCAACATATTCTTAACAGTATGTAAGAAAAGCGTGTTGAATGAATTCTTGTGAAGGACTTTTTAAACTATAAATGAATGATAAAGCCCTTTGATTTATGACCAGTCTTAGAGATGATTGACTGCATGGACAAAACTCTTTCACTATAAGATTTATTAAGATACAACCGGGTTCCTGACAAAAAATATATATATTATGCCAGGTTTTCTTTGCTAATGGTAGACACAAAAAAACAGCGCTCCTGAATCCCCTTTTCTCCCTCCTGGAGAAGGTAGCAAGTCTCACCCAATCAATCTTGCATGTATACAAATATCTCAAGTCCAAAGTTTACTTTCTGGAAGCAGGTTCAACTTAGCTCTCCTCTCTCTCTAGATTTCTCTAGGAAAAACTTGCTGTAATACATTGGTGTCAAATAGCACATACCAGTTCCACAGTACAAAGGAGCCCTGATGAAGAAGGTGCCTGGACCTTTGAAACACATTGTGTTATGGTGGGAGCCAAGTTTCTGTGGAAGGAAGGGACCATAACCTGTTGGATTCCATTTTGGAGTGCTGGCCCCAATCGGGTATTACCAACGGAGAGTTGCCCTTCTGAATGCATGGATATACTGTACACTTGTGAGTAGTACTTTTGTCATGAATAAAGCTCTTATGATTGTACTGCACAAGGAAAAATGTTTTTTCTGTTTTGCCTTCAAGGAGAGTGTGAGCTCAGGAGTAAAAGTGAATAAACATGTGACACTGCATTCTTTGGAAAGGCAGGTCGGTGCAAGATCAAAGACAGTAACACTGTCACAAGACATTTGTCTCAAAAATTGCACCAAATACGCAATGTGAGTGCATTTTGTATGCGTTTTTGAAGCATTTTCTATTGATTTCAATGGGGAGGTGCATTTTTGCACCAAACCTGCACCAAAGATGCAGCAAGCAGGATTTTAAAAAATGCCTGCAACGGATCAGTGTAAAAGCGGTCCATAGGAATACATGGTTACACATTTTTCAAAAATGGATCAGTATGAAAGCAGCCTAACAGACAGAACTCTTGTAAGAGGACAGCTAAGTTGAGACTGCTTTCAGAAAGATACTGAATGTGTACACTCAAGACTAAGTGGGTGGATTTTCTATCTTCTCCAGGAGGGAGAAAAAAAGATTTAGGAGCTCTGTCTTTTTTGTGTCTGTTATTGTCAGTTTGTTCGAGAAGGTGATGGGAGTTGATCAGAAGCTCTAACTAGGATTTAGCATGTTTTACATTGTATAATACCTTTACTACCTGTTCCTGTGACAACATGACAATGAAAGAGGTAAGTTGTCACTTGGGCAGGAAGACACAGGCATATATAAACTGATAGAGGTTCTAACCCTATGTCAATTTACTTAAAAAAAGAAGTTTGGGTAAATTTCCCCAGTTTTCACATGGACCTCAGGTAAAGCCTGACAGAGATTATGTCCTTTTCTCACTCTGTCCAAAAAAAAAAAGAAAATGGCTGGAGTTGGGTTTTTAAAGCCTAACTCTGGGCTGTTGGATCTACTATTATGGATAGTTAAAAATCAGTAGAGGATACATTTTCTAATGCTTTAGCTTGGTGGCTGTACAGATAACTCAATTCTATCATCATTAAAGTGGATTTGCAAGCTAATGTTATTTTGTTTCTGTCCCACTGGCCCACATAAACATTGTAAAAGTGAAAGATGGTCCATTTCAGCTACTAAAAATGTATGCATTCCGTAATTAGAACTATAGGGACCTGTGAGACTACTGATGGTTATGTAACTAGGTGCATGAAAAAGGATAAGTATAATACTAGCCACCCAAAGTTGTCTGTATGTTTAATAGAAAAATACAAAAAAAAACTTTTGGAATGCTTTGACATCAAGACCTTTCTTCAGCTTCTTTTACTAACCAATCCAGCAGTCATGTTCCTTCTACATGTTAGTTAATGAAAGTAAGAATGTGATGACAGTTCTAGGCATGTAAACTGCTGAGACAGGTGGGCTTTGGGTTCATATTTACAATGCAGTGACGTTTAAATTATATATATATATATTTATTTATTTTTTGCTTTGGATAGATTGTAGAAGAATTAGAACCTTGGTTCTTATTGCTATCTGTGTCCTGCTGGGAAGATTCACCCACACTATTGGTCCTGGCAACCATTTTCTCCAGTCAAGAAAGTGATGGGAAATGCAAAATTTTAGAATTGTCACTGGAACAGGAGATAAGGAAACTCTTCTAATTGGACTTCTGTTCTGGTGACAACTATGTAAGAGGATATAATGTATCTTCTTACTTTGGAGAGATCTCCTCTTACTTTCTGCTTTGTTCTGGTGCATGAAGTGAGGAAAAATCCCCGATAGGACATGGCAAAAAAAAAAATTACAAAGATCTAAACCATTCCCTACTCGATCCAAAACTAAAAAGAAAAGTTTGGGCTTTGCATACACTCCAAAATTAAAATGTCTAAACATCAGTTACAGCATAATCATTTTGTGCATCAGTCTCCATGCAATATTTTCCCACCTTTTACAATTAGGTACAAACATAGAATGTCTCTGGAAACTGCTACTAAAGATTTAATATTACGTACAACTACAAAGATTTTAGTATATTTAAAAAAAAACAGATTAAAGATGAATTAACAGATTGCCAAGTAATACTTACTGCCTATCATTCCTAATGTGTTTTAAAACTGCTTTCAGCTAAACCACTTCTTAAAATTAGTGCAATTTCCTGCCAACCGCCTCTTTGGTGATAGTACTGAAATTCCTGTGTTCCTTACTGGTCTTAAAGTTCTACCCCTGATGACAAGAAACTGAGACAGCCAACCAGGAAACAAAGATGGAAGTTGCGCCATGCACTCAGATATCAAGAAAGGACTTACATCTGTTTCAAGAGAAATGTAAGCTGTAAGCAAGCTAAATTTGGTATAGAAAAAAGGGAATTGACCAAAAACTAAAGTGCAAAGTATGTATAACGCCCATGGTAACCCATATCAATTAATTTTGTACAAAAGGAACTTTGAAGACAAGGCTGTATAACGGTAACCCTAAAGAGTGCTTACATCTGTTATATCATTTACAACCAGTTTAGGGTATAAAATTCTTACAGAAAGCCAACAAAAATACTGTTTGACCAAAACAGTTAGATGTTCATATAAAGAGTTCATAGCTAAGCTATCAAACAGTAGGGTCTAGATGTACACCAAAACTTTAGCTACGGATGTGGATTTGTGGCAAAGTGGCATATGCTTACATTGCGAGAGTCACAGTTCTTGTCTTGTTGCAATTCTGTTGTAGTTGTCAGATCGTTGGAATTTGTTGTTGTATTTAAAGGTGCAATTGTATGATTCTGAAAAAAAGAAAACAATAATATTAACTTGAACTTTATAAATAGCCAAATAAATAAAAAACGAATGTGCTGTAGTCAAATAAAACATAACAAAACAAATAATTAAGGTGGAATTCCAGGCTATTCCTAACGAAGCTTAAACCTGCTCCCACCCTCTATAAATCCTATTCTAACTTCACTGTGAAAGGAGGATGCTTATACTTACCTATTCTGAGGGCTCTCTGGTCCAGTCACACGATCAGCTCCCAGAGAATGCTTCAGGGGAAAGGAGGGACAGCCGACAATGAATGTCCCATAGTAAGCCTATAGGTGACATCATCGCCCAGGCATTTCAGCCATTGTTGAAAATCTCCCCCTGAAGCCGACCATTGGGGAAATCATGTGACCATACCAGAGTGCTCTCAGAATAGGTAAGTATAAGCATCTTCCTTTCACAGGGTATTTAGAATAGGATTTAGAATGGGGCGGGAGAAGGTTTTAGAATTGGAATAGCCTGGAATTCCACTTTAAAGATAAATAGGCAGCTACCTCATAAATATTATACATGCAATGTTGAATCAATAGCAAAGTTGAGCCTACTTAAACTTGTGCAAATATAAACAGGTGAATAACATATATGGAAATATACAAAGTATCCATCATAAAAAACATTAGTTCATAAAACCTCTGTAAGTCCATGATTAACCACTAGCCTACTGGGCACTTATACCCCCTTCCTGCCCAGGCCAATTTTCAGCTTTCAGCGCTGTCACACTTTGAATGACAATTGCGCTGTCATACAACACTGTACCCATATGAAATTTTTATAATTTTTTTTAAACAGATAGAGCTTTCTTTTGGTGGTATTTAATCACGTCTGGGTTTTTTATTTTTTGATAAACAAACCAAAAACAACTGAAAATTATGAAAAAAAGTTTTTTCTTAGTTTTTGTTTAAATTTTTGTAAAATAAGTGATTTTTCTCCTTCACTGATATCCGCTAATGAGGCTGCAGTGATGGGCACTGATGTGCACTGATGAGGAGGCACTGGTAGGTGGCACTGATGGGCATTGACAGGCATCACTGATGGCCACTGAAAGCAGCACTCATATATGGCAATGATAGGTGGCACTGATAAGCGGTACTGACTGGCACTGTTAGGTGGCACTAATAGGCAGCACTGATGGGCACTGATAGGTGGCACTGATGCACACTGATAGTCGGCACTGACTGGCACTGATAGGTGGCACTGATTGGCAGCACTGATAGGTGGCACTGACTGGCATTGACAGGTGGCACTGACTGGCACTGATAAGTGACACTGAAAGGCAGCTCAGATGGGCACTGATATGTTGCATTGATGTGCACTGGTAGGCACTGATATGGGGCATTGATGTGGCACTGATGGGCACTGGCAGGTGGCACTGATGAGCACTGAAGCTGGCATTGATGGACACTGACAGTTGGAACTGCTGGGGCTACACTGATCATCAGGGCACACTGATCATCAGTGCCCTGAGGATCAGTGTTCATGTGCCCTCCGAGGAATGTCGATTACCGGCTCTCCTCTCAAGCTGTCAGCGTGACAGCTCGTGAGGAGAGAAATGCCGATAACTGGCATTTCCCTATTTACATGCGATCAGCTGTGATTGGACACAGCTGATCACATCACCAAGCCGAAATCTTCGGCTCTTTCCGTTGATTGGTGATCCGCTGTGTCCGAGGGACACAGCGCATCGTCGATCGCCGCGCTGCGCACTCCCGGAGCCACTCATGTGCGGTTATAATGGGAGGACGTCATATGACGTCCTCCAAGAACGAGAGAACAGCCTTGCACCCGTCATTGCCTTATATGGCAGGCGGGAGGTGGTTAAACAAGCAAGATGCAAAAATCCCCTGAGGAAGTCATTCAGGTGAAACTTGTTTGTGTAGGGAGGATTTCCACTGTCATCACTCTTGGACATTTTTTTTTGTTTGCAAACTTTTATTGAAGCAAACATTAAGTACACAAGTTGTCACAATTGCAATAGACAACATCAATATAAATAAAGAAGACCCAAAATGGATCCTTACAGAACAGTAGAAAATTGCTGTGTAGGCATACAGGAAATAAAAATATCCACAAAAAGAGAATTAAATAAATGAGTAAAATCAGACCAAAAGACAGTACTATATATGCAACAACTGGAAATAACAAAATAGTGTTATAACAGAGTCCAAAATTGGCATTATGAGGTTTTGGGAGAACGATATAAACACCAAGCATCCCACTTGGCATCAAAACAGGGTTTAGAGTCATGAATCATGTAGAATATCTGTTTCATGAGCATAATGGCATCCATTGGAGAGAAAGGCATAGTTGTAGATTTCCTTTGAAATGCAATGACCCAAATGTTATAACAGACTCATACATAGGATGTGGAGCAATATCTCTAAAAGGCAAGTAAAATCCTTAATGAATGAAAATAATAGTCACGAAGACTGTGTTAAAGTAATTTGTCTACCCAGCAATAAAGAACAGAAATTAAAGAGTTCCAGCCACACCGGGGCTATTTTTTTGCATTCCCAGAAGGTATGAAGGTACAGTATGTGCCTGGTTGATGACAACAACGAAAAAAGTGTGATGGGACCTGCAGGTAAATACTAGAAAGTTTAAGCAGGGTATTGTCCCATCTAGTAATTGATTTTAGTGCTGCATCACGAATTGCCAAAGATCTGGTACATTTCCTGAAATTGATCCATATAGAGTCCGGTCTCCTGTTCTCTACATTGTTCATCACAATCCCAAGCAATCATACAAGACAGCTTCAAGGGTGGGGATTCTATAGAAAGAGAGGTATAAAGAGTTGGGATTATTCCTCTCGCATGTGGATGTTTATGACAGATACCCTCAAAAACAGTAAAGGAATCTGAGGGGGAAAATGCATAATGCGTACCAAAAAAGTCTGATTTGCAAATAATGGTAAAATTCAGAACGCAGAATAGATTGTGTTTTTTATAGATTGGTAATTCCACCAATAGAAATGATTGGGTCTTGAGAATGAAGTGACAAGGATCTAGAATCGCCCAAAAATAAAGACCAAAGGGATACCTTAGACATCAAAATATAACCTTATAGTTTGTAATAAAACATTTTTGAGTGTTACTTTACTATTGTTAGCCTCTTTTTCCATGTTTATGGGATTTCCATCTTGATGTATCCATCTGTACTCTGGATTCCTAGATAAAGATGGCTGTCTGGAGTGCATTAAATAAAAGTGCTTTCAGACCTTCCATTTTTCTTGGAGGTCAATTGTGAGAGAGTGCTTACTCTCCTAGTGCAGGGGTGGGCAACTGTGGCCCTCCAGCTGTTGGTGAACTACAAGTCCCATCATGCTTCTGCCTTTGGGAGTCATGCTTGTAACTGTCAGTTTTGCAATGTCTCATGGAACTTGTAGTTCTACAGGAACTGGAGGGCCACAGTTGCCCACCCCTGTCCTAGTGGATTCGTCACTGGGTGTTTTCAAATTCTACTTTATAGTTACAACGTTAGCAGGAAGATTTTCATTTGCATCCTGGGTGTTTAATCATGGACTTTTAGATGTTTTATGAATTATATTTTATTTATGATGGATATTTTGTATATTTCCTGATATGTTATTCACATGTTTATAGTTGTGCTCCTTTGCTATTAATTTGACAGGTGGCACTGCTGGGGCTACACTGATCATCAAGGCATATTGTTCATCAGTGCCCTGATGATCAGTGTACATGTCCCCTCCGAGGAATGCCGATTACCGCCTCTCCTCTCCTCTCTTCTTTTTAATAAGTTAAAAAGCACACCAGTGTTTTTACAGGGACCAATATTAAGATTAGATAATGGGTTCTAAGCTTTTAGAAGTTAAGATCTGCACTGTGGCTTAATGGAAAGTTAGTCTAACTGACTTTCCATCAAGCCAATGCTTGGCAACTGTTTAGCTACTTTAGCTTGGGGGAACAAGATTGATGATTAGGTTAGGGGAGGCCAACTTTGTTTACTCCTTATAGCAGTGGAGGACAGTTCCCTGCCACCCTCCCATACTTTTAAATACAGCATAAAGCTTTATTATCCTTTGCTTTTGGTAGGTGCCCAAGCAACGGCAGCCTTGATGTTTAGGGGTACAAAATTAATTACCCTCTTTGGAAACAGAGGGAATGCATGTGACATGGGTTTTCCTTCTTGCTAAAGGTCTAGACCAGGGGTGGGCAAACTTTTTGACTTGAGGGCCGCAATGGGTTCATATAATGGACCCGGGGGGCCGGACCAAGAGTAGATGAATGATGTGTATGTGTGAATTAATATAAATTAAAATTTGTAACATTAAATGTTTAGATTAATTTAAGGTAGAAAAGCATAAAAAGAGTTATTTTACAAAACTTTTATGCCCCCCACTAGCTGCTGGCCGCCCAGCCACTACCATGCCATCCATAGTAAGTATAGTAATATCCCCATAGTAAGCATAGTAATTAATCCCCCATATAGTAATTCATCCCCCATAGTAATTCATCCCCCATATAGTAATTCATCCCCCCTATAGTAATTCATTCCCCATATTAATTCATCCCCCATATTAATTCATCCCTCATATAGTATTTCATCCCCCATAGTACTATTCCCCCCCAAGTAGTAAGCCAAGTCCCCCCTGTGTCAATTTACTTACCTTTGCTCCGCGCGTTCCTCTCGCCGTGTTCCCGCGCCGTTCCGGTCTTCAGGGTGGACTGTGAGAGGAGCCTAGCTCCCCTCACGTTCGTCACGCTGCCCCGCCTACACACATCCTGACAGCCAATGTTTGCCTGCCCTGGCTGTTTTTTTTCTTTATCACGCTCCGCGGGCCGGATTAAAAGGTCCGCTGGGCCGTATACAGCCCGCGGGCCATAGTTTGCCCATTGCTGGTCTAGACAATCTATAATCTGATCATAATATATAGGCTAATGGCTTTGAGTTTCTTTAGTTTTGCCAGGTGCTTGTTAGGGATCCGGGTGTGACCAGAAATGTGTGGACTGACACAGGGAAGTAGCAGGCTTCAGGAACACAGGTGTAGTCAGGGCTGGAGAGGTGGAATGGTCAGGCGGGCCGTAAGGTACTGTCAGGCACCACCCGGCGGGATCTCCAGTCACCCACAGAAGAGGATTCCCCAGGGCGCGGAGTCTAAGCCCCAGTCTGCCTTTTCACCAGAGCCCCTGATGGTGGGGATGGAATTGGCGCAGGACTGAGACCAGGTCGCGGCCCCTGAGTGCACCCAACTGTGGTAGAGGGTATGTACCGGGGGAAAGCCTGATGTGAAGGGGCTGTCAGGTTTGGACAGTAGTGACTGGATCCGTGCGGGATGGATGGATCATCTGGGTAGCGTCAGGCGTAGTCAGGCAGGCCAGGTCAGCAACGTGCGGGCAGTGAGGTACCGGAGGAGCAGGCAGAGAAGTGTCAGGGTCACAAGCCGGGTTCAGTAACTCATGGGCAGCGCGGTACAGAGGATCAGGCAGAAGGATGGTCAGGCAAGCCAGGGGTTCAACAGGAGACGGTTAGCAGAAGTCAGGATCAAAGCAGGCAACTAGGCAGATAAGCAGGAACACAGGATACCAGGTACAGGGGCTCATGGGAAACATACACCAAGGCACTGATCACAGGCTTGGTCCTGCTTAAATACACCTCCTGCAATCAGCTTCAGATGATGGCTGACTGCAGGAGTGAGCTTCTGGTTGCTGAGAGCACCCGCTGGCCAGCCCTGGTACTGCAGCCCACACGGCAGGTGAGTCCCACCACCAGTGGTGAATCCATTCCTGACAGTGCTTGTCAAAGCCACCCTTTTGACTTAAGTGGCAGGTGGCTGGCTAAGTGGTAATCTTCACAGAAAAATGACAATATACAGTCATATGATTTGGTTTAGCTATTTGCCTCAAGAACATATGTCCCACAAAGTGTACTTTAATAATCTATAAAATCAAATTCAGAATCAAATCTATTGTGTATGACTCATGGTAATTTTGTGTGAGTCTGTGATTAAGGTCATGTTACTGAAGGTCAAGTTGGATGACTAAACAGGTTGGGACTTGGAACCTTCCAAAAGCCAGTAGGTGAAGGATGTCGATACCTAATCTGCATGTTTGTGGGAGTTTACCCAATGCCAGATTTGGAGTACCTGGTAGAGTGGTGGACCAGTCCATAAATATGTGATTGTCAGGCCGACTGGGGAGTCTGGAGGAAGATTGGGGAGTGCTGAGGAGACTGGTGGTGGTCTGTGAGGGGGTCCCCTAGGTCTCGGGCTGGCAATGTCTGCAGGCTGTGGAGCTGGGAGCAGTTCTACTGGGGAGAGGAGACATCTCAGCATGTTGTTTACAAGAAGCTAAGTTGATTTCAGAGGGGCTGATAGTTCCTCCCCCAGAAGGAGCTGTTGCTACTGATCTGCAATGACTGATGGCTTTCAAGGAAAGAACAGTCCAGGATTTGTTTCTGTAAATAGGAAGGAAGTTTTCCCCATGCTTTGATTAAGTTGGGCATCCTATAATCCCTATTACCCAATCAAAGTTATATTCCCCTAATAAAAACACAAAAAACAAACGCATGGACTGTTCACTGACTGTTGATGAAAGTGTGGAAAATGTGTGTTGCTTGGCTGTGCATTGCTCAGGGGTACCAGGAAACACAGCGACCCTCACAGGGGATAGTGCTACATACTAAAAGAGAAAAATATTATTTGGCATAGTTTTGCTGTGCCATACAGACTACATGTTGCAGTTTATTTCTATGGTGCCTTGGGAAAAAACAGCTTGCCACAGCACAAAAATGCTTTTAGCCTCTAAAACTTTGAACTCCTGAAATGGCTAATAAAGATACAAAGAGCTGAAAAGAATTCCTTCTTCATGTTCTCGTTACATGCCCCATACCGTCTATCTACTGAGAAACATGTAAGTGCCTTTCACTGAGTGAAATACTGCAGATTACATTCATTTTGATCTATAGAGCATTTGTAAAGGCCTTTGCCCGTGATAAAATAACCACTTTTATACTCTAAATATCTTTCTTTGTGCTGTATATAGTAAAGTAAATTGCTCCACTTACAAGCAAACACAACCAAGCTACTCAAAGCACAAAAGGAAAAAAAAAATGTTTTTATTTAAATACATGATTAGGGATTTTTTTGGTTATGTTAAGCATTATAAATAATAGTGTCCTTAAAGTGTATCTTTAGCCACAACTTTTTTTTTTGTGTTGTATGGAGTGAAGAAAGTTTAAATGTTGAATATCTGTCAGGATATTATTGCATAGAGTAGTAGATTGATGGAGCTTGAACCTTTAAATGCTAGTAAGCGACACTTAAGTACTCAAATTTTTTTTTATTAGTGTTGTGCTAATGATGTCCCTGCTAGGCCCTTGGGTAACGGGTAGACAATATTGTGTGAGGACAATATTTGAATCTCAAATTGAAGCACCTCACCTCTCCTGAAGAGGTATTATGTGAAACACATAGGGGGAGATTTACTAAAGCTGGTTCACAGAATCTGGTGCACCTCTGCATGGTAGCCAATCAACTTCTAACCTTAGCTTGTTCAAATAAGCTTTGGCAAAAAAAACCTGGAAGCTGATTGGATTCTTTGCAAAAGTGCACCTGATTTTGCACTCTCCAGCTTTGGTAGATAAACCTCATATTGTTGACCAAGTCTACAACTAAGGCGACAAGTCTATTGTTTGATGTTATATTTGTAATGTTATTTTATATATATATATATATATATATATATATACACATATATACATACAGTGAGGAACAGAAGTATTTGAACACCCTGCGATTTTGCAAGTTCTCCCACTTAGAAATCATGGGGGGGGTCTGAAATTCACATTGTAGGTGCATTCCAACTCTGAGAGACACAATTGAAAAACAAATTCAGGAGATCACATTGTATGATTTGTAAAGAATTTATTTGTCTTGCACTGCTGAACATAAGTATTTGAACACCTGAGAATATCAGTGTTAATATTTGGTACAGAAGCCTTTGTTTGCAATTACAGAGGTCAAACGTTTCCTGTAGTTCTTGACGAGGTTTGCACACACTGCAACAGGGATTTTGGCCCACTCCTCCACACAAATCTCCTCGAGATCTGTCAGATTTCGGGGCTGTCGCTGAGCAACATGGAGTTTCAGCTCCCTCCAAATATGTTCTATTGGATTTAGGTCTGGAGACTGGCTAGGCCACTCCAGAACCTTGATATGCTTCTTACGGAGCCACTCCTTGGTTATCCTGGCTGTGTGCTTCGGGTCGTTGTCATGTTGGAAGACCCAGCCACGACCCATCTTCAATGCTCTGACTGAGGGAAGGAGGTTGTTGCTCAAAATCTCACAATAAATGGCCCCATTCATCCTCTCCTTAATACAGTGCAGTCGTCCTGTCCCCTTCGCAGAAAAGCACCCCCAAAGCATGATGTTACCACCCCCATGCTTCACAGTAGGGATGGTGTTCTTGGGATGCAACTCATCCTTCTTTTTCCTCCAAACACAACAAGTGAAGTTTAGACCAAAAAGTTCTACTTTGGTCTCATCTGACCACATGACTTTCTCCCATGCCTCCTCTGGATTATCCAGATGGTCATTGGCAAACTTCAGACGGGCCTGGACATGTGATGACTTGAGCAGGGGAACCTTCCATGCAATGCATGATTTGAAACCATGACGGAGTAGTGTTCTACTGACAGTGACCTTTGAAACTGTGGTCCCAGCTCTCTTCATGTCATTGACCA